CACGGGCCCAGGCGCTCTGCGGCATGTGGGATCTTCCCGGACCGGGGCACGAACCCGCGTCCCCTGCATCGGCAGGCGGACTCTCAACCATTGCGCCGCCAGGGAAGCCCTGAAGCACTCTTTTACATAGTTTCCTGATGCACATTTTCTTGAGACCTTGACATTTTCTTTATTACTTTCATACAAGATTGATTGATTGGTCAGGCATAAAATTTTAGGTTGGAAACTTTCCTTTAGAATTTTGAAGGCATTGCTTCACTGTCTTCTAGCTTTCCATGTTGCTATTGAGAAGTGTGACGGCATTTTGATTCCAGAATTTCTCTATGCAACCTCTTTTCTTTTTTCTCTTTGGAAGCTGTTAGGAACTTCTTTTTACCACAACACTTCTCCATTTAAAAAATTTTTTAATGCTTTTCTCCTATAACAATGTGCATTGCTTTATGTCTTTTTTGTTTGTTTGTTTTTTGCGGAACGCAGGCCTCTCACTGTTGTGCCCTCTCCCGCTGGGGAGCACAGGCTCCAGACGCGCAGGCTCAGCGGCCATGGCTCACAGGCCTAGCCGCTCCGCGGCATGTGGGACTTTCTCACACCGGGGCACGAACCCGCATCCCCTGCATCCCTACAGTGGACTCTCAACCACCGCACCACCAGGGAAGCCCCTAGGTCATTTTTTAAGCGGGCTTTTTCAGTCAAGAGAAACACATCCTGACACATTTTCTTATATTAGTTATTTGATATTTTCCTCCCCACCGTTTTATCTGTTTTCTCTTTCTGGTTCTCCTATTATTGAGAATATTGAGGTATTGGATTCATGGACTAAATCTCTATTTGAAAAAAAAAATGCTTCTTTCAGCTCCTATCTCTCTTTTTTTTTTTTTGTCCTGTTTTTTTCAGATGATGTCCTACACTTCATCTTTTAGATTTTCTACTTGCTTTTTATTTTGGCTAACACGTGTTTAGAAGTTCTTTCTTGTTCTCTGATGGTTCTTGTTCTCTGATGGCTTTTCTTTTTCATTCTATCCCTGTTTCATTATGCAACATCTTTTCTGATCTCTCCTTTCATTGTGTTTGTTGCTTTGGTCTCTTCTATTTTGGAAGTTTTCCACGTTTTGTTATCCCTTGGCTGTCAGTTCATATAAGAGTGAATCACTAAAAAGTTGATTGGAAGTCTGAATGAAAGGCTTGAAGGTGGGCTTCTATTTTGGAAGTTTTCTATTTTGGAAGTTTTCCACGTTTTGATATTCCTTGGCTGTCAGTTCATATAAGAGTGAATCATTAAAAAGTTGATCAGAAGTCTGAATGAAAGGCTTGAAGGTGGGCTTCCTTAGTGATTGGGTGACCAGGTGGCCAGTTGGCTTTTTTTTTTTTTTTTTAAATTACAGCTATAGTATTTTCTCTGGGGATAGTTCTGATTCTATAAAGGAGGCTCTTTTAATCTCTGATTGAGGAGATGATTCTAGGTTCTGAAGGAATTCTGGAATTAAGGGCACTTAGTTCTTATTTTTGGTGTCACATCATTCTCGCCCTTCTCTCCCTATACTTGGAGTCTCTATTACACTTCTCTCATAGAATAAACTTCCGGTCTCTTGCAGGAGTTGGGGGAAATAGTTACTTGCCTACACAAGGTAGTGGTGGGAATCTGGGTCTCTAAATAAAATTTTTAATTAAACATGATTCCAGCCCCTTCTTATACCCTTCCTCTGTGGTTTCTGGTATCCTGAATTCCTGAAATTTTCTGGGATTCTGTGAGAGCAAAGTGACTTGCTTCCTGATAGCCCTCTTGACCCTCCGTCTCCCCATGCGTTTAAGTTTGATTTTCCTCTTCTCTACTCACTAATTTTTTCTTCAGTCTGTTTTCTATCTTCAAATATTGTAGTTCAAGTTATAGAATCTTGAACACTGTTTCATTAAGGACGGAGTATGATTTTTCTGGTTTTTGTTCTCTTTGTTATTTGGGGGTCTGATCTCTCTTGGGGAGAAGGGGGTTGCAATACCTCTATCTGCCACCTTCACCTGGAAAGTCCTTCATCGCCTTAATGATTTTTTAAAAATTGTGTTTGCAGAATATATAATTTCTCAAGTTCCTTTCCCTTTAAAACAAGGATTACATAAATCATTCATCAAAAGTGTTACTGAATTACATTCTATAATTGTATATGCTTCTTCTAATTGTATACTAACATACATAACTAGAAATGAGCTTGTAATTAAGCACTCAGCACTGATGAATCATAAACAATCATATTAAAAATTGTTATGGGTGAAATAGAAAAAAGTAAATACAGATAACTCAAAAATAAACTGTTTAGAGATTTTGATATATATTGATAAATAGAAAATATTCACCAATACTGTTAGAAATCAATACCTTATCACCTGTTTGAGATGACTCTATGTTACTATTGCAATTACCCAACTAAAACATTTCGGTGGGCAAGCTGTTCAGCACTGACACAGTTTTTGTTTCTCAATGCAAAGTGTGTTCTTCCATAGTCGTGGCCCTTTCAGTAATACTGTTTGACAACAAGGTTTTTGTTATACTGTTTGAGAGCATAGGTATTACTACACATAATAAATTAGGTCTTAAAAAGTAAAATCTTATAAAGTAAGTTTTCACAAGGAAGATTATTTGTATTGCACTAGACAAGAAGGTGATAATAGACTTCTTAAAAAAATAGCCTTAAAAAGTCCACTTTTAAAGCAATCTTTTCTGAGTTGCCCTTTAAGGGTATGATAATTGATATATACTGTTTTAGTTTGGGCTGCTCTTAAAAAACTATCATAAACTTGGTGGTTTAAACAGCAAACATTTTTCTTAGTTCTGGAGGCTGGGAAGTCCAAGATCAGGGTGCTGGCAGATCTGATGTCTAGTGAGGACCCCTTCCTGGTTTGCAGATGGCTGTCTTCTCACTGTATCATCACACGGTGGAGAGCTAAGAGGGGGCACAAGCTCTTTTCTTATAAGGGCACTAATTCCACTCAGAGAGCACCATCCTCATGACCCAATTACCTCCTAAAGGTCCCACCTTCTAATACCATCACATGAGGGGTTAAGGAATTCAACACATTAATTTTTTGGTGGTGGAGGTGGGGCACAAACTTTCAGTCCATAACACATACTCAATTCAGGGTCATACAGCTGCATACATTCAAACTGGAAGGAAAAAAAACCTTCTCAGATGTTTCTCAATTTTGAAAAGAGTTTTGTATTTAAAAACAAAATCAAAAGGTATTTCTATGATAATCAAATACTTGTTTTAAAAGAAATTATATATACATATATAATTATATACGTATCTTATATGTTCAGAATGCTTTTAGATATCTTATAGTAATCCTTAGGGTCCTATTAGCCTTTCTTGGCTAAATAAGCTAGGTATCTATCTATAAAATATTAAGCACATATATTTATTTCTTCTATTTTTACTGCTTACATTCTTTGAATATAAAAATGGTAACATGTTAAATATGGAATATTTTGAAAATTTTGAATAAAGAAAAATACATAGTATATAGAGATAGCCACCTTAAAAAAATACATATTAGCATAATTTCCTCTCATCCTTTTTAAGCAGTTTTCACATGGCTGAGATCACACTGCACAGAGTAAAAAGAGGACCAATTTTTTGAGTACTTCCTAAATGCTAGGCAACTTGCTAAGTGGTTCATGCACATTGTATCAACATCCCATGAGCCAGATATGTTATGTCCATGTCATGATGAAAAAACTGAGGATTGAGGATGAGGCCATAAAACTAGTATGTGGCCAAGCTGAGACTTTAGCACAAGTTAAATTCAATGTTAAAATGCATACACTTAACCATTATGTTTATATAATTTTCTCTGTTTACCATTATAACATTTCATGTCATTAACAAATCATTACAAATATCATGTAAATGAAAAATTTCAAAGCTCCCATATGACTAGGCCCCCTTCACTGAAGCCTTGCAGGCAATAATATTTTAAAAGCCTTACAGTAATAATATTTTAAAAATCTTTGCAAATGTTAAGAGCAAGAACAGAATATCATTGTTGTTCAAGTTGAAATGCATCTGGTTACTAGAGACTTTGAATGTTATTTATAAGCTTATTGGACATTTGTATTTCTAAAGAAATATATTTCTCAAGTAAGCACAACGTAAATCAGAAACTACAAAATGCTCTTTGGAACAAACACTGTATTACCTCATTGATTCTGGTTACACGGGGGAGGCACAGCCCTTGGGGGTGATGGAAGACCTTGTTTAAAGACGTGAAAATATTTAGATTTGTTCTCTTCCATTATTTCAAGTCACACTAGTTTAACAACATTAGTAAATCTATTCATTTTTGCCTGATATAGGTTTTTGTATTAATGGAGATAAGAATAATAATTAGTATTTAAATTCTCATGTATAAATGATTTGTTTTAAGTTCTGCAAGATAGTTGGTTCGAAGACTTTAAAATTCTCCCCTTAAAATCTTGTTTACATCATTAACTTTTATGTCTAAAGAAAAACAGTAGACGAAAAAGGCAAAGATAAATGCCAACTAAACCCTTATTTGAAATACCACAAAATTGTGAATTAATGGAGTTTTCATGCATTTCTGATACCTGTTATTCTGATTTCCTCTCTAGTTACAGTATTTTCATTGGAATCTATTTAATACAAGAGTTAGAGCCACTGGTGCATTTAGTTTGATTTATCTAGTGACAATACTTCAATTATCATCCTAGGCAAATTATATTCCTTTTTTAATAAATTTATTTATTTTATTTTACTTATTTTTGGCTGTGTTGGGTCTTCGTTGCTGAGCACGGGCTTTCTCTAGTTGCGGCGAGCGGCGCTACTCTTCGTTGTGGTGCGCAGGCTTCTCATTGCGGTGGCTTCTCCTTGCGGAGCACGGGCTCTAGGCACGCAAGCTTCAGTAGTTGCGGCATGTGGGCTCAGCAGTTGTGGCTCTCGGGCTCTAGAGCGCAGGCTCAGTCGTTGTGGTGCATGGGCTTAGTTGCTCCACGGAATGTGGGATCTTCCCGGACCGGGGCTCGAACCCATGTCCCCTGAGTTGGCACGTGGATTCTTAACCACTGCACCACCAGGGAAGCCCGCAAATTATATTCTTGAGAGTAAATCTAATTTTGGTTTAACCCTCCAAGTAATTTTAATTCATTTTCCATATATCTTGACAAAGTAATTATGAAAGAAAAAACCCATTATGGATACATTACTATGATATTTGGGAAAAATATCACTTCCCAAAAGACATATACATTGTTAGTTGGTGTTAGTGAATTATATGACCTTGAAAGTTACAAGAATATGCCAGAATGATTTATCACCTTTAAGCCACAGAAGGGTAAAGAGATGTATGGCTGATAGGCCGGGAATTTTGTGATTTGAGAGGTGAGTAAATAGGCAGCAGTATCTTGCTACCTTATACATTCTGCCTGGTGTACTGGTAACATGGGCATTGGTTTAATGGCTTGTTTTGTGGGAGAAGCTTTATCCTCTACCTCATCATTTATGTAAAATTTAAGCAGCATATAAATATATATTTAATTTGAATTTGCTATATCAGATGTCTATATTTTCCTGAATATCTTTATTAACAGTTTTCGTAAAAGTTTACTTCTCTTTCTATAAGCTTGGCTTGAGATAACCAATCTATATTATATCTACAAAGGAAACAAACTGTATACTTTTTAGGCTATAAAAATAACAATAAACCCCACAACTTTGCAGTAGTTGGTATTTAAGAAATGAATTTCATTGGACAAAAATCATAAGTACTACAAAAGGTCTGAACTTCTGAGATTGGACAAGAATTCCACCTAGACAAGCCCACTGTATATGTTATATGAACATATACAGTTGGGAATGCAAATTAGCACAACCTACCTAGAAAGTGATTAGGCAAAGGTATCAAAAATCTTAAGTGATGCATAAGATATATATAATAGTAACAATTATATTATAATAACAACAAAAAAGAAATATGATTAATGAGTAAAGTATTTATGACAATTTCAGGTAAAGCAGGACCTATGTAGTATGACCTCAATAATGTTAACGTATGTGTAAACATGCATTTGTTTGTGTGCATAAATACATAAAGACTAAAGGGTTTTGACAGTATTTATCTCTCCCTAGCAGAAATACTGGTGATTCTTCTTTATATTATTATGTAGTTTTCTATATTGAGCACTTAGTCCTATAAAAATAAGAAAAAATTATTTAAAACAGATACAATAGCAGCAGCAATGTTAACATCTTAATGAAACTCAAATTCCACCAGAGCATACAACCTTGGTTTTAAGTGAACTGGCAGAATCACTTTATCTTCGGTCTTTTTAGTAGTATCAAACAGTAACAATTTGATCTGAAGGTTTCAGAAACATCACCAATATACTTTCTGTCTACTGGAAACTTAAAATACATGTAGATAGTAAATCCTTGCTAAAGAAAGTATTATCTAAAACCAACTCTAGTATTTACAGGCTGTTAACAAGCTAATTGTCCTATTATATTCTCTGTTTTTCTCTTCTTTCATTAACTTCTAAAAATGTAAAATAAACCAAGAGAAGTCACCTTCATTAGAATTCATTTATTCATTCAATTAGTAACTATTTTTAAGTATTTGCTATGTGTCAAACAATTCTTTAGGCACTGGAGATTCTGCAGTGAAGAAAATAAAATTCTTGTCTGGTAGAGGAACAAATATTATCTCTACCATGTAATGATGATATGCTGTGAATGAAGTAATATTCATTAATAGGCTAGGCTTTACAGACAGTAGGAAACAAAAGTTATAAATTTCTTGTTTAGCAAAGAAAATAAAATTATCACCTTTATTTACTCTAAGACATATTATTATTTTTATTTACTTAATTAAAGAAATTGAAATTGCTTGATTACTTACCCCAATATTAAATGTCCCTGTAAAATACTCCATATTTGCTTGAATGAACCAAATGTTGCTTAACCCTAGTTCGTCACTTCTCTTCTTAGCACGAATTAATGATAATTCCTTGTTTTCTATTAATGTAACCTAGATTGTACCCAGGAAACAATAGTATATTCAGTAACATAATTCAGACATTAGGGTAAAGTATTATTACTGTGTTTACTAGCTTTAATAATGTAGATCATATTATATTGATCCTTATCCTATGCTAGGAAGTAGGCCACATAATATAGTACAAAAATGAGGGCTTCCCTGGTGGCTCAGTGGTTGGGAGTCCGCCTGCTGAGGCATGGGCCTGCGCGTCTGGAGCCTGTGCTCCGCAGCGGGAGAGGCCACAACAGTGAGAGGCCCACGTACTGCAAAAAAAAAAAAAAAAAAAAAAACAGAACAAGGTCCTTGAACTCTTGAAGCTCCTAGATATAGTGATATAAGTGAAACAGGCAATTATAATACAGTGAGTGATAAGTGTTTAATGAAAGACATATAATGTGTTATCAGAGCACGCAGACTAAGGGAGGTTTTAGTCATTTAATGTGAAAGAGTAACATATTAACTGAGGCCTGAAGAGTGAATAGAAATCAGCTGCGGGAATAAAGGTGTGTTTCTAGCAGAGAGAGAAACATGTATGAAGGCCCAAGGTAAGAAAGATATGGTGTATTTGAAGAACTGAGAAAACTGGTATAGCTGGGGTACAGTGTGTGATGGTGACGGTGGAGGTAGGGAGACAGGGTGTGGGATGTAGGAATCAGGCTGGAGAGGTAACAGGAGCCAGATCATGTGCAATGAAAGGAGGTCTGGTTGCTGCAATGCATAGTATGGACTGGTGGGGGAGAGGCAGAAGGCAGGGCAACCAGTTCAGAATTTCTAACAGTAATCCAGGCCAAGGAAGGTGGGAGACCATCACTGGTTTAGATGGAGAAAAGTGGGCAGCAAAGTTAAGTCACTTTCATCACGATCATTCCTAGTTTGGTCCTTATTTTGTCCTTATGCTTGTCTTTATGGAAAAATCCTGGATCCCTTTGTATAAAAAGCCTGTCAGAGGATACTTGGGGTCAAAGGTTTTCCAGCCTTTATTCCAGTCAAGACTTCCCTTTTCCAGTTTCAACATTTCTAAGTTTCCAGAGCTGTTGGGAAGGGTAAAAAAGACACCATATCCCTGCCTGACTCTATATCTCCAGGATTCTGCTCTATGAGCTTTATTCCTCTTACTCCAACCATGAAATTGTTGTTTTCCTTAGTGATGAAATGAACATCTGCCTGTTTCTCTCAGTATTCCTCATTTATTTTGCTCTTTATTTTCTAAGAAAGATAAAGAAAAATACTCTCTACTCTCTATCATTCTGCTACATATCATTCTGGCTAGTCTATGAGTTCTTCCACATTTTTTCTTCTGAGAATAATCACTTTAATTATTTTGTAATTTCCGGAGAGCTCACAAACAAAGGATCTGCCCCGGTTCAATCAGCAGATTCTAGACTTCTATGCTGAAAGATGGTCACTGTGAGGAAATGATTTAATATGACAGAAGACTAAAAGCAGCACACACTTCTAACAAATGGTGGCAACAATCGTATAAATTATGGTACATTTACTTAAAAACATATTATGCAGTCACATTTTAAGTGATATTTTAATGATGATATTTGAAACTATTTGCAACAGCGAAAAACATTTATGATATAAGATTGAGTGAAAGCAGGTGACTGAAATTGTACTTGAATTTTTAGAATTTGCAGCAATAAGCATCCTCATGAACAATGACAAAAAGAACATGGGGAGAAATGCATTTGGTGGATCAGTTGGTAGATTTGCGGTTTCTTTTTCTTTAAAAAATGTTGTTGTTACAATTCTGATACAATGAATAAAAATCAAGTTACCAAAGAATATGCTCAACAAGTTTCAGAACCTAGCATTTCCAGTATAAAACTATGTTGACAATTAAACTGGCTTCATCATTAATTATTTTATTTGAGTGGAATAATTATTTCTTTTAAAAATTATTTAAAAATACAGCCCTTTTATAAAAAATAAAAAATGTAGTGGTCCTACTTACTTTTCTTCCCTATGATTCTGAATCTTAGAAGTTTAGTTCAAAGAAATATAAAATGCCTGTGCCACATATTTGACCTGGGTGAATGATTATAAACTCAAAGAGGAGGAAAAAGCCAGACTCAGCTAACTGAATTGTGTAGTTTCCTTTTGTCTATTATTCAGACTTTACCTGGCATGATGGCAGCATGTGAGCAAGGACAATCCCAACATGGCCCTGAAAAAGGAAAAAAAAGAAACAAGTTAACTTTGGTCTCTAAGGCTTTTGTTTATTCTGAGACAATAATCTTGCCAAATAAAAACATGACCTTTAATGTAGTATAGTAAAGCCACATCATCTTGGAAAGGCTAAAGAGAATAAAGGAGATATAGAATACCCCACCGCTGCAGAAATCCACAATTCTGTCACCAGGTTTGGCCTGATTTGTCACCACATAAACAAGGTTGTTTAACTGTTGCTGCTTCCTCAAAGCTCGATCACTGGACATTTTACCTGTGAAAGACAAGAGATGAAGACAATGACACGTTATATGTTGTAGGGGACTGAGATGGCACTCGTGGACTAGACTAGCAACCTACAGGAAGAGCGGTACAGATGTAAGTGGATTACACATTCCATGTAATCCTCCATGAGAGGATTAGAGAACTGGAACCCAGAGGTGAACTCTATTTTGCTTCTTTTTACTTTTATTCCTACCCAACTTTTCTTTCAATGGTCATTAACAGAAAATCTATGAAAAAATGTCTTTGAAGGAGAGGAAACAGTAAGTGAAACATTAACTTCAGAGTCATAAAGTGTTCAATAAATGTTTACTGGATGAATAAAAATTAACAGTAATAATCTCTTCCCTCTATCCCTCTCAGAGACATAGTGTAAAGATTACCTAATTTCAGCACATTGCTTAAATCGCTTTGGAGAAAAGAGACCTATAATAATAAAAACACTTTTATTATTTAACTGGCACATCCGTGATCTCTTAATTCTTCTAGTTAGGACACTTGGAACATAGGTGTCACATTGTTTAAAATATATCAATGGTTACTGTATTTAGAAATAAATTAGATTTTCTTATTTCTGCTTTGAAACTTCCTTTCCTCATGAGTGTGTCAGACACAGAAATTTAATGCAATTAGGGATTGAGGACAGGGCATTTCCAAGTACAAAATGCCTTGGGCCTAGCAGCCTGAAAACATCCTTACTTTTCTTTCAAAAGCTACTAGTCAAGTCCACTGAAATATCTTCAGAAGAATGCATAAAATTATTTGTTTTTACACATTTCAAATGCACTGTTCATAAGAGCAAGATTAAGAAAATGTAAGAGAGTAGCTCCCAGTGATATAGATAAAAGAAAAAACCCAGATAATCTTTTTGGCTTGATCAAAAATTATTTACAGATACAAAGTTTCCCCACTCCATTTTCACAGAAAAATTGCATGGATTTTTTCTTTTCTGTTTTCCTTCTTTCTTATGTTACTAAAATTAAAACACTGGGAAACTTTTAGGAAAAAATAGAAAATGTGGATTTAAAAAGATCTATATGAGAGAAGAAGTCCATTATCTCATAATTCATAGGTAATATTTCTGTATATATGTACTTCCAGCTATACCCATAAGTTCATAATTTTCTAGATGGCATAGGAAACATTATAATATAAATCTTTCTGTGCCCATGAATTTGTTTCTACAAGTTTTAATGGCTGCATAGTATTTTATTAACTATTTATACACAACTTATTTAACCAATTTCCTATTGTAACAATGCGGTCATCATCATACAACTGAATCACTGTGTGTGTTCTTAATTATTTAGCATCGCCTAATGTGAATTTCAAACATGAAAAGCATTTAAATCAATCGTTTGGTGACTTCATTTGTGAAGACAGTTTCATGTAGCTTTAAAAAAATTATTTTCATTTTTCTCTAATAATATAATGGCAAAATATTTACACAGAGTTAGTGAAAGCCCTTGTGATCCCACCTTCAGTGGATAGCCACTCCTAAGAGGTTTTATTATGACAATTTTCAAACACAAGGCAAAGTTGAAAGAATTAAGATTCAGTGAATAGCTCTATACCCTCCACCTAGATTCTACCATTAGCAACTTACTAGGCTTGGTTCATCACACGTCTATCTATCTATCCATCCCTCTATCCATTCAGTCATAAATCCACCTAATTATTTATTTTTATTATGGCAATGCAGTTTTGATTTGGAGGAAGAAGAATAAGAACAAGGAAGGGGAGGAAGAAGGGGAGGATCAGAAGGCAAAAAGGAAAAGTACTTTTGAGGCCCTTGGGAGAGCGAGAGTCACAAATGCTGCTATTAAATGGAGCCACCACGAGGCAAGAAATGAGCACAAGCATTTTAGACTTTGCTCTGTTTGTGGATTTCTTAACAGTTCTTAGACAAAGAATTTTCATAAAACAAAGTCAAAAGAAATTATCTTTTGTTAAGAACAAGGAGATAAGAAAATAAAACTTATTTAATGGAATATCTAATAGTAAGTTCTGTACTGTACTTCTATTACATATTTAGAATGACCTAACTTTCTTAGGTCTGTTTCAAAAGCAAATGTTGATGAAGATCTGTTTTTCTTGCTAAGCCTGCCTCTTTGCATATGAAGAATCTGTGCTTAAATGAAGGTTGAAGGCAAAGAGGTACCTTTCAGGTTTGTGTTTAAATAGAGAGACTATTAAGGTGCCCATAATATTCACAGGTTGGGCTAAAAATACACTTGCATGGTGCCTCAGTGCTTTATGGAAAAACTGCCTCTAATGAAGCATTCCTCCTCATCATTCTAGTTTTATAAGTGAGTAGGGTCTTAAACACATCGAACAAGGTAATAAAGTGTTATTTTGAGACACCATATTCATTTAAAAACCAAATTCTACTTTCTATTTATATCCAACATTCTTGTGCCTGACACTATTTACAAGCATAAAAATATTTACATATTTATTTATTTTTGGCTGCATTGGGTCTTTGTTGTTGTGCGTGGACTTTCTCTAGTTGTGGTGAGCGGGGGCTACTCTTCGTCGCGGTGCGCGGGCTTTTCATTGTTGTGGCTTCTCTTGTTTCGGAGCACGGGCTCTAGGCGCGGGCTTCAGTAGTTGTTGTACACAGGCTCAGTAGTTGTGGCTCATGGGCTCTTGAGCGCAGGCTCAGCAGTTGTGGTGCACGGGCTTAGTTGCCCGGCGGCATGTGAGATCTTCCTGGACCAGGGATTGAACCTGTGTCCCTTGCATTGGCAGGTGGATTCTTAACCACTGTGCCACCAGGGAAGTCCCTATATTTTTAACTTGACTAAAAACGATGGTTCTTTAGGTGTCATCATGGAAAAACAAAACCCAAGAATCAAATGTTTTAATAGAAATGATCTTATTTGTCCTGCAATGTAATCCTCCTACGGTGGAGTCTTCTCCTTGTCTAATTCAAGTTAGGAGGAACCTGATTAGACAACTTCAATGTTGTTTGCATTACCCAAAAAGAAAGTACAAGGAAAAGTAAAGGAGACAATTTTTAAACTAAGGAAGAGCCATATTAGGATATCCGCATCTTTGGTCAGTTCAAAGCATCAAATAAAGCAGAAAAAAAAAAAAAAGCCATGGATGGAAAATGTGCACATGTGCAGCCAGGACACCTGTTCAGTCTAGTAAATTGTGCTTAAGATCAGGCAGCTCTTAATTTACTCTTTCTTAGTCTGAAGCAACAAAGTACCTTGAATATTATAATATACTGGTAAAAGGAAAGTGGTTGGGTGCTTGGGATACATATTAGACTTTATTTGCTGTTTTGTTTTCCAAGTATTTCTTTGAGATGTAGTATACCACCCACATTCTGTGAATTTTTAAAAAATATAATTAAATATGGAGACAAAGAAAAGGGCTAAAACTAATGGTTCAGAGATTTTTTTTTTTTTTTTTGCCGTACGCGGGCCTCTCACTGTTGTGGCCTCTCCCGTTGTGGAGCACAGGCTCCAAACGCGCAGTCTCAGCGGCCACGGCTCACGGGCCCAGCCGCTCCGCGGCATGTGGGATCTTCCTGGGCCGGGACATGAACCCGTGTCTCCTGCATCGGCAGGCGGACTCTCAACCACTGCGCCACCAGGGAAGCCTGGTTCAGAGATTTTTAAAATATGTTTTTGTTTGAAAAGCTATAAAACCAAGAGAGCAAGAGTAAATTTCTTCACCAGTGATGGGTGCAGTGCAGAGGTTGTAGAGAAGGTGTGAGACAATTGAATACACAAGGTGGCACCAATAGAACCTTTGGCAGGTGAGAAGGAAGGTGACAACCACAACTTTTAATGTTTTTAAGAGGCCTGATTAACAACATTAAGACAAGCTGATGAATGGTCACTTATCATGTTTCATAGGGCAATGGACAGTGAAGGCCAAGTTCCACCTTCAGGGTAGCTAAGGTTTTCATGCTTGGAACCGTCACTAAGCTCCTACTATATGCCCAGTACTTGTCCAGGTACCGAGGACACAACTCAAAGTGAATAAGACAGTCCCTGTCCTTCAGGAGCTAAGAAGGTATCTAAGAAAACGGTATGGGTGTTCATTATGTGCAAAGGTATGTGCACTGCAGATAAAGCACTAACTGAGACATCACAGAGGATTTTGCAGAGAAGTGTGGGGCATTTCAGCTGAGTCTTTAAGGAGGAACAGAAACTTGCCAGGTAGAATGAATGGCAGGGAAAGCATGATATGATATGGCCTACTTAGGGGGAAAATGCAATTAGCTCACTTATGCTTGAAAATGAGGGTCAATGAGAAAGTGGTAGAGCATAAAATAGAACTGAAAATTTGGCAGGGACAGATGGGAAATGGCATTGCTTGTTATCTTGCCTCTCTGTGCTGTACAGAAAACATGGCCTTGCTTTAATACTTAATATGTATGCTTAGAGCTCCTTAGAGACAAGTTCTCTTTGAATAGACAGCTCTGTTATTTTTACATTATTCCATATGAAAGATGCTCTTTTATATTGCTAGCCTGCATCATTTTTATTCTGGATAGAGGATATCCCCAAATTAGATAGAATTATTCATAAAATTATGTGGAGCATTCAACCTCAACTGATGCTAATGTCATTAAATGATTTAATTAAGAAAATGGAATTGAATAAATTGAGCTCATTGAATCATTTTGAGCTCTGCTGTTCTAGACGAGAAAACCTTTGGTCTCCTTATTGGATTGTCCTTCCCACTCTCCTTCCCAGGCTCCTCTCCCCATGGCAGTCCCTGAAATGCTGTGCTCATCAGGTTCTGTCTCTGTGCCATAGCTCATCACTGAGTGTGATTTTCTTGAGTATATTACTAAAGTCCCTTCCAAAACTGCCTAGGAAAATACCTGTCCTTGCTTAAAATACCTTTAAAGGCTTAAAGGTATTTAAACCTTTATGCCTTATGAAAAAAGTCCTGACTTCTTGGCAAAGGCCTTTAATAATCTGCGCCCTGTTAATTTGCCGACGTTACCTTCTGCTACTTTCATAA